TGTGTGTGTGTGTTGACTGCGCTGTGGGGCTACAATTGATCTCAGCCACAGGAGCCCAAGAGGGAAGGAGAGGAAGGCTGAGGCAATGAGAGTGAAGAACACCTATCACACACAGCAGGAGCACTAAGACCTGTTTGTTTTCCTTTCCTACCTGTTGATTTCAACGCTGGTAAATTGCACGACTGCTTTACAGGAAACTGCGTGAAATTTACAATATGTTACGCCTAATGCATCGGTTCCCTTTCGCTCACTCTCGATTCTTTTTATCATAATCTGCCATTTATCATCTTTGGTCCGATGTGTTGTCTGCTCTAATTAATAGCATGTCTGTGAGCCGCAGCACATTCACCTGAGGCTGATTCATTAGCATCACTCTGTTTTCCAGAGCATTTCAGCAAAGCCGTGTCCGCCTCTCATTTTCCGTCTGATTCAGACGTAGGCTTTTATTTCCTCCCGTTTCCGTCTGCAGCCGTTTCTGTCTCGTTCACAGAGACGCTTCCCCCTAAATTTATCACATTTGTTTTATTTTTTTTTGGTTTTTATCTTTCCCACCTTCAGTTTACTTTAGAAGACTCCTGGGAAAGTTTCTCTCTTATCTCAAAGACACCTTATTGCTCAATTGATAACTTCTCCTTCAGTTCAAAGCCTCCAAATAAACATGTTGAAAAAGTCAGGAATTCAAACAGAAGTATTGAGAGTCCAGGATTTGTATTACTATATGATTATTTTTATTGATATTTGAATTAAAGTGTAAACAGGCATAGCCACCCTGTTCTTGATATCATTACACATCTAATTTCAGGATTATAGAGTGTTAATGCCATTTTTTTCCCCAATAAACTATGAAACTAAATATGATAATTTAACCTTTACATAATGTTTTGGGTCAAATTTGACCCATTTTGACATTTGAAAGCAGTAAAAATATCCTAAATGTCTTCTTTTAGCCTGAAATTTGACGACATTTCTTAAAGCGACCCAAAATGAAAATATTTTAAAATGTCATACTTTTGTACAGGTGCTACAAATCTTTGTACATTGAGGTTGTTTCAGGTCAGATTTGACCCGTATGTCCACTGGGATGGATTTTAGATCCAGCAGTGTGGGTCAAATCGAGGAAAATGGCGGTTTTAGGGAATCTTGAAACTGGGAAATTGTACAGGCCACATTTTGTATGTAGTTTTTTTTTACATTTAATCAAGTGACATAGGCTACTTAGACATTCTAAATAGATCTGTAGTTTAAAATTTGGTATAGACCAGGGGTGTCCAATCCTGGTCCTCGAGAGCCCCTATCCTGCATGTTTTAGATGCTTCCCTCTTCCAACACACCTGATTCAAATGATCAGGATCGTTATCAGGCTTCTGCAGAGTTTGATGATGATCATTTGAATCAGGTGTGTTGGAAGAGGGAAACATCTAAAACATGCTGGATTGTGGCCCTCCAGGACCAGGATTGGGCACCCCTGGTATAGACACTATGAGGGAATTCTTGACAGGAATTCTTCACAGTTTGGTCCGGGTCAAAATTGACCCAAACCATTCAAGATTCAAAAACTTTATTGCCATATGTACACACACACGCGGTTCGGTACAGAGGAATTTTTTGTGCAGGACTAAAAGAGCTGGGGAGATTGCAAAGTATATTTTGCAAAATACAAGCAAAATACAAATACAGGCATTTGTAACATGAAGGCATAAAATATGAACAGTACGTGAGGGTAAATGTAATATTGGTTCATGCTTTTTATAAACCCAGCAATGAAGATGTAAAATGTATAATATTTAGTGTAATATCTGCAATAATGTGACACGCAGGCTGCTCTGAGCTCAGCTGAACCAGCTTGGTCAACTTCTTCACTTTCCATATTGATGGTTAACAGGACAAGACAAGCACAGTGATAATAACTTTCTTGGCAAACTAATACAACAAAATAGCAGCTATGTCTTGCCCGCTCTGCTCTCTTTCAGTGTGTGCAGTCAGCACCCACTGTGCTCACAGTGAGCAGGAACACGAGTGAGCTTCCCAGAAACAAATCATTTTTAAAATATTTGCATGAAATAAATATTTGCAGAACCCTTCTGTTTGCCCTTCGCTGAATGCTGCATCCGGGCTCGGCTCCACCCCTTCTGAACCAAACTACACTCAACATTGGTGGTCTTCCAAACAGATTAGTGCCTTGCTCATGGGCAACTTGATGTTAACAAAATAGTTTTACATTTAAGAAAATGTGCTGATGAGAAGATCAATACCACCCTCGTGTCAGGTGAGGATGAAGCTACCAGCAGGTTTATGAGAAAGACATGTCTTGGTTGCAATCGGCGAGACTTCCCCGAGTGTCCACTTGTTGCCTGGCAACCCCATGGTGATGCCAAGGCTTCGTAACTTGTTGTTCATATATTCTAGATTTTTGTAGTGACGCAATAAAAGAGCTATGATGTTTTAATTACAAGCTTTAGAGATGCCAGTAGGCGGATTGTGTTACCTTTGATAAGAGTCAAGCCAGGTTGATTGGTGCTGGCTGTAGCTTTATATTTAAGAGAAAAACATCAGTGTGGAATAAACCTTTTCATCTAACTGGGCAAAAAAAAAGCAGAAATTGAAAGCAGAAAATATTACCCAAAATGTTAAACTATTGCTTTAAGGGAGTATTAAGCTCTCATTTTCACAACAAGTTTGGAGATTTAAACAGAATGTTTTGAATGCAAGGCTGCGTTTCTAGCCAACAGCCTCCTTTCAGTTAAAGCAATCATTACAACTTCTCTTTTTCCACATTTGCAGTGGATACTTACTACTTACTCAGACCGCGAGAAAGACGGGATTAAGACGAGAAGTCCTGAACAGTCCTCTTATCTCCAAATGGCTCTTGAGCATGGAGACAACAAACGCTGTTCTCTTGTTTTACAGGAAGCATTAAATCTGACAAGGGTCTTCTTGTCGACTAAATACCCTCAAATCACTGAAAGGAATTAAATGTAGGGAAGGGTTTGAAGAACCCTTATTTAAAACACTATGAAGCACTTAATTGTCTCGCAAGATTTACCGATATAAACACAGGATGTTTGGTTTTTTAGAAAATGAAGTTAGAATATAGAGAGACAATAAACAGAATATAAAAAAAAAAAAATACTGCACAAGCGGTGGCCTTTCCTTTGTGGTGTATCAGTCTGACCGTAACCAACCTGACAGGGTTGTCAACGGCAACAATGTTGTCGTAAGTAACAGAGTTGCCGGGCGGTGGCGTGGAGATGGACAGAGCGGTGCAGAGTGAATTGGAGATAACAGGGAGTGTGACAACTGAATTACAGCTGACGGCCCTGAGATGAGCTCTCAGCAACAGAAAAACAAGACAGATAGACAATATGGCACGCTGGGAGGCAGGCGAGAAGATAGAGAGAGGGAGAGCAAATTTTAGTGGAGAGTCAAAAGCCAGAGGAAGAAAAAATAAAAATAAAAAAACCACGGACAGAGGCGGGAGGCAGAGAGAGAGACATATTAAAGGAAGTGAGAAAACGAGAGGATGAAAGGAGGGATGCCACGTCTCGCCCAAGTAAAGACGGGAAGCATCTCAACAATGAAAGAAAGAGACAGAGAGCAAGAGATTCCTCGGCTGAGACACAACGGGCGTGCAGCGAAAAGTCAGATGAGATGAGAGAATCAAAGAATGAGAAAAAGAGTGCAAGAGTCAAAGAAAGACGTGGATAGAAACTAAGAAAAAAATCTGTGTGAAGGCATGTACATGTCGGCGCACGCAGGGTTTCATTCACTTGTTTGTCTTTGGAGTGATTTAAAAAAATAAATAAATACAAAAAAAATCTTACTTGTGGCATTTGTGAGCCTGAAGGTGACTGACTTATCTTCGATGTTGCACACATTGCGGACGGACACCTGGCAGGTATAATCAGCAAAGTCCTTGGGTCTTAAGTTTTTCAGCTTCAGCACCTTGGTCTCGCCCTGTGCGGGACAAACAACACACACACACTGCTTTGTGAGACACACTTTACCCAATAACCACTCGTGTGATTCATCAAAAAGACACGTACAAACATTTATCCGAATATAAATCTGACTACATTTCCATTACACGTAACATTACATCAGTGAGGGAGCTCCGAGCTTTTATACGAGTCTTTTCTAAACTGGGTTGTAATCTTGTGTAAAAGTCATTTCAATTTTTGATGAGCTGCAGCGTGATAAACAGGGTCAAACACACACTGAGATGAACACACACACGTAAACACAGACACGTGCAGGAACACACACACAGAAACATGTAGTGTGTTTCTATGTCTGACATGCCCTGATTATCAACTGAAGCATTTCATATCTAAAGATGAAGTTATATGAATGATACATTCCAAACGCCTTTTGCACGAGACCATCAGGGAAATGAACCTGATCCGACTGTCAGGGCTAAAATGAAAACTAAACGCAGCATCTCTTTTAGTAAAAGCACGCATCTCTGTGCTTCTCATGTAGACGTACATTCCGTCTTGGAGACACAAAAGGCAGTCAGTCATCTCTTTCAACATCACTGAGGATTTTTCAGATCAAGACTTTTGTATCTGATACAGTAGGCGTTGGGCTAACAGTGACTTAGGCAGCCCAGGGAAGAGCTCTGCTGACTGGTTAATTGAACTCCAGGGGCTCTCCTTTGTGGCTGACTGATGCTTTGATAAGTGGAGAAAACGGCAACGGTTATGCTCACGCAACCGTTGTGCACTGAGCCTGAGGATCATGCTCGGGGACTGTTTGTTTAGTTATTTCTTAGTTTACTGACTGTTCCTGCCCAACTTAACAAATAACGGCCCAACTGACGAGGTAGTCGACTAGTTTCTGTCCAATAACGAGCTGCTTTCACTGCGTTTCTGCTGAAAGAGAGAACAGAACAATCTCATGTTGTGAAAATAAGCATTTTAGAAATCAAATATGTAATCGTGTCAACATACAGCAGCACATACATTTTCAAATACGCACTTTCTATGCATGTATACAATTCAGTATACAATATGTTTTAGCAGCTCATAGCCTTAATTGAAGAACATTTCAGTCATTACCACAGCTTTGAAAAAGGCCAGTTGACCATTAACCTTAATTAAACCCTGCCCCCCTCCCTTACTGTTGCTATACCGGTAGCCTGACTCACCAAATGTAGACTTTGGGTACAAGTCTGTCATTTCCACTGAGCATTCCACACAGTTTTTCCACTCTTTCGGTGTACTGTTTTCAAAATCCTTCGCAGTGGGAAGCAACAACCTCCAGGTCTGCTTGGTGCTTTCAGTGAATTAGTCATTTCAGAGACAGTGCTCACCTCCTTGCCTCAACCAAAACAATTTCCTCGTCACTACGTTGCAGGAATGCCGCTGCATACTGGACTTAGCACCACCAAACATGATTGTGACGGGTTCAAAGAAATACAAATGCTTCTTTTCCACTAGAACAGAATGATATTAAGGTGTTGCTAGTCCAGACGCAGCGCTGTACAGAATGATCTGCTAATGTAGGACTACTACGTCTGGAACTTCTACAGTTGGCAGTAATTACAGGTGGAGGCTTACTCCTGAAATTATTTGTCATTTATGGACTCAGCTGAAATGACAATTGTCTAACAGATTTGATCAGCTGCAGATAAACTATTGTTAGCATCATGAGTTGGTTGAATATGAGAATAAGATTAGAAATATTATTCTAAAAGTCGTAGCTTGGGCTGCACGGTGGCTCAGTGGTTAGCACCGTCACCTCACAGCTAGAAGATCTCTGGTTCGCATCCCGGTGAGAACACCTGGGATCTTTCTGCGTGGAGTTTGCATGTTCTCCCCATGCAGTGTGGGTTCTCTCCAGGTTCTTCCTCCCACACAGTCCAAAAACATGTTGAGGTTAATTGGGGATTCTAAATTGTCCGTAGGTGTGAATGTGAGTGTGCTTGGTTGTCTGTCTCTAAGTGTAGCCCTGTGATAGACTGATGACCTGTCCAGGGTGTCCCCTGCCTTCACCCTGAGTCAGCTGGGATAGACTCCAGCCCCCCCATGACCCTAGTGAGGATTAAGTGGTGTATAGATAATGGATGGAAGGAAGTCTCAGCTTAAAGTAGCAAGAGTAGGATAAGGAAAATGTAAGATGCATGCTTGGGTAACCAAGGACAGCCAAAGCTGAGATTAGATTCATGCTTAGATTTACATTTGTATTTGCAAACAGTATGCCTTACTTTGAACAATAGAAGATAAAAGGCTTTTGGGATGAGGGTGAATATGTTTGGCAAATGTGACATTATCTCACGTAACAGGTTCAGCTGGGGTTGCAGGGAGGATAAACTTTTCCATATTCAATAAAGAATAAAATAGCGCCGCGAGCTCCGACGTAGAACCCAGGAATAGATTCCACACTGTGGTCAAATACTAAACATTAGCAGGGCTTTTAGTTATACAACCTGTAAAGTCAACTAAACTCAGAAAAGAATGTGCTCCTTGGCCTTAGATGAACGCTAATGATGAGCACACTGTTTAATCCATTCCTTACAGTTACGCCTCAATATACATGGTTTGAGAACGGCCAACAAAAAATTACTTGACTGTCTTAAGTCTATATACAAGTGTCTCTGTGATTGGAGTCCCACACATGGTTTCAGCATGTGAAGAAATCCACAGCTGGGCAGATCACTCCTGCAGAGTTCAGGTTGAAGTTATTTAGCGGGGGGGGCTTTAGTGGTGGGCCACTTCATTTCCTTTGACTTCCTGGACAATCTTCATGTAAACACTGAATATTGGACAGTGATCGTAGGGGAAAAAAAAACTCAATAAAAGCAAGAGAGTTCAATATTTTTCCCAAGACAGGAATAAAACTTGAGTTTAGAGGAGGATACAATTCAACAGGGAGAGATTTGGTGAAGCACTTATTAAAGAAGAAGAGGGAGTGAGCGCACACCTGGCAGTGTGTCTGTGTTCATGTGTACCTGAGTGTAAAGCGGCTCGTAGATGTCCACTCCGTTGTCCTTGCTCTGTTCGATGAGCATATTCCCCCGTTTCCAGATGAATCGCGCGGGAGGGTTGGAGTTGACGGTGCAGCGCAGGAACACCGTCTTCTCCTGGTAGTAGCTGCCGCGCACATCGCTGATGGTCTGGTGAACCGTCAGGACCGGTGTGTCAAGGTCTGCGAGAAAAAAACACAGGTACAAAAAATAAAATAAAAATAAAGTCATTAAGGCTCTGATGTTGCTGCAGGGGGGGAGGACGAAAAGTCATTATTATATCCCAAAAGCTTGTTCATTACGCTTTTATTGCAGCAAAAATAAACAGAGTCGCACAAGATGCAGTTCTATAAAAGCACAAATTCTTCTACGTAAAATGGCTTTTCATTTGTGGGATGTTGTCATCTTTTCTGTGCAAGACATTGGCAATATTAAGCTTGGCGGGGATGGGATTTGGTAACTAGGCCACGACTGTAAATAAGGGCAAACAAGTGCGGTTTGTTGATTGAATTGCCCGCCCACACTGACCGAAACCGTCCAAACAGTCGCCTATTCATCAGAGCTTCTAACGAGAACAAATGTCCAAACAATCTGCGCGTTTTGCCATTTCTCCTGTTTTGCTGTGACTCTCGCGCACGTTGCATTTATATATTATTTTTTTCCTGTCATTTTTATCTCCGACTTGCCTCATTTCCCCCGTGCATTTCCTTCATGGGAGTGTCGCCTCCCTTTTCCTCCGGTATACAGGATTTCAGCCACTGTCACGAGCATGGCGGCCGCTCTCCCCTGGTTTCTGCCATCTCTCCAAAACTCACTGCCACTTTCGCTCCACATCACCATCCCTTCCTTTCTATCCTCTCCTCCTCGCTCTTTGCCTCTATCTCTCACGGGGGCAGAGTTGTGTGTCTGTCTATGTGTGTGTAATCACAATTCTTCGCAGCCTAATTGGACCGTTGCGGACATCAAACATCATGGAAACAATTTCTGCCAGCACCACGGGTTCCTCCCTTTTTTCCTGCCTTTCCATTTTACGTCCCTCCTACCAGCTCACCTTCTTTTTTTTCTTTTTGCTATCACTGCTTCTCTTTCTATTGTGTCAACCCATCTCGCCTCCTGGACACTTTTCAAAAAAAAGGCGAGACGACATGTGAGTGTAATTGTTACGTTCCTTGATACCATCACATGTGAGCACAGCGGCGCCCATGTGATGGAGAAAAGAGAGAGAGAGCTATTTGAATTTATTGTATTTTTTTGGCTGGAGACTTTTGAGAGAAACAATGTGCACTTGATTTCTGAGTGCTCCGTTGAAAAGGGCACAGCTGTCACACGAGGGCCGCGTCTCGCACAGAAAGCCACGTGCACATGCATGCGCCTGCGCTCACATCTGGAACCGTGTCAAATTGTGTGTAGCCTCGGCATAGCATCGGGGCCCTTTCATGGTTTGAAGGTTAAAGCTCTGGGACAGACTGGCACATACAGTAGAGACACAGAGGCAACTTAAGCTCATGGAGGTGGCTACAAAGAAAACCAGACATTGCATGAAACAACAACTTCTTTTTCAAATTCAGGGTGAGCCCCCGGGTCACGGGAGGGTTTACTAAATCATACCTCGCATGCTTTAAAGCTGCGGAAACACTGCCTGGATGTCATGGGAAATAAGGGTGAGTCAGGATAACAGTAAAACTACATGTCAACACTGCAGCTGTTTTATCAAATCATCTTCACCGTCTAAGAATTTTTTCCTGCCATGCGTTTCTAGTTGAGTGATGCATGCAAAAGAAAAAAGATGCTGAATGTGGCATCTTAAGACGGATCTGACAATGCAGTGGCCTTCAGGATTGCTTTTGAAGCAAACAATAAGTCTGTATGTAATTGTTTTCAGAGTTATGTTGTGGAAGCAAATGTAATCAATGGCTGGATTATGCTGCACAAATAAACTGCTAAATTTATGGAGTGTACAAGTCACTGTAGATGATTGAGGTGGATGGTGGGCGTACAAATGTGCAACAGCTATAGACTCTTGTTTTTCTTTATAACAATTCCTGTTTTCTATCAAATAAAATAGACATCATACACTGTCTTTACTCGGCTATGTCGCTTACTTTAATACCTACTTTTGTGTATCTGTTATTTAACACTTTTTTTTTCTCCCCCCCAGTGATTTAGTTCTGTGCTCTGTGAAGTGCCGAATTGTTTCCATTGCTTTCATCTCCCCGCGGACACTGCCATTTATGAAACAACAACCCGCAGATTGAAACAAAAGGCAGAGCACGAAACTGACAGTGAGGTATGACCGGTCTCTTTAAAAGCTTCTGCCAGAAACGGGCCTTCAAAAGTTGGACAGCTATTAGAGATATCTGCCTCCTCGTTCTGCCACGTGTGCACGTGTGCGTGAAAGAGATTTGGCAAAAAGCGCCAGCGCCTTTGTACACCTGAATTTTGCGAATTTGTGAATGCACATGTGAGTGTGTATTTGTTCCAAGACTGGCACAGGAATTCTGTATGATTTTCACAGGTCATTTGCCGCGCGGTGGGAATCCAAGCTGACTAATGCCGCCGTGGTGTGTATACGGTGTGTGTGTGTGTGTGTGTGTGAGAGAGAGAGTGAGTGAGTGCCACTATCTGCTGTCATTCTGTTTATTTCGTGACACCCTGTTTGAATGTGAAGAAAGTGTAAAGTGACAGACTGACACAGAGAGAAGCAGATACAGACAGGTAGATTCTAAGGAACATCACACGATTGTAAATGGACACTGTGGAGTCACTCAGAGGTCCACAACGTGTGCTCATACACAACCGAGATGATTCTGACTGCATGGATAGCATATTGTGCTCGTAAACCGCCGCATTTTGGCATCGCAATGCTTGTTTGTTTATCTTAAATTGTGTTTGCAAGTCAAAATTGGGCAACCCATACGACCATTATCAACACAACATGGTGCAGTTGTACAGAGCAAACAAAAAGGAACGATTAAAAAACACTTCACAAACACAACAACAACCAAGTGTGCTGGCCTTTTTCTTCTTCATATCCCTTTACTGAGGTCATTAACCAAACAATGACAATAGTTTTACAGCCTTTTTTTCACATGACAATTGTGTCGTTAAAGCTTTTGTAATGCAAACTCCCACAGTGAGTCTAACTTTCCTCAGTTTTTGGCCCTTAAGTAAATGGAGACACAAGACGAAACTGCAAGTGTACAGAAATACAATATGAAACTTTAATGAAGCTTCTGATTTCCCCAAAGTCCTGCCTTTGCACACAGCTTAGATCAATTGCACTGCGCTGCTTTTGTTAGCCGCAGCTTTTAATGTACATCTACGCTTCCAAATTTCAAGCTGCTCTTGGGGTTCTGGCGTTGTTTTCTGCTTAGACACCACACACTGGTGCTGACACAAAGACATTTTAGTTCTCCCTCAGAGTGGCCCTTAGCTCGGACAGATGAATGTGGAAAAGGCACCAAACCGTGTAGTTTCTACAAGGCTAACGCCGTGTGATAAAAAAGTCACACACACCTTCTCCAGTTCAACGATATCTAATTAGAAGAGATATTACTGATTTATGTGCATCCTTGAGCAAAACAGTATGTCGACTCTGGATTATAGAAAATCGCTGTTTTGGGATATTAGGGGATATAGTCAAAGAAAAACAAATGTTCTTTTTCTTCTGTTAAATCATTAATGCATAGAAGTGTGGATTTAATGACACTTGTGTTGCTTTTTTAAATCAAAGGAAGTCACATTTGGAAAGTCAGTTAAAGTGACAAATATGTTGTTAAAATATAGATCATGTAGTCGTTGAGTTTACACTTATAGTTCTGTAAAACTGCACAGAAAATTGCTTTCAGTCAACTGTACAAGCATTTAGAGTACGTGCACAGATTGTAAGCTGCTTCAGAAAAAGACTTTAAGGGCACAGGAGAAAAATAATAGCCAGACCACACAAAATGAAAAGTCCCACACTGGACTGAAATCTACAGGGTCACAGTTTACCTCCTTCTTAAGCTACCTGGATCCCTGGATTTTATTTCTAGCATAACCTCAGGCAGCAAAAAAAACACACAGGTGCTGGACTGTAATTTCTATAAAAACTGCAGCTTTATTGGTGCCACGTTATCTGTAGCTCCTTAACATTTGCTTAATGGCAAACACCTCAGCTACAATCACACCTCATGAATAAATTTGACTTCATTTAAAAAGTTTTTGTTAGGGAAAATAATAATAATAATAATAAATCTCGAACACGCTGACTTATCTGGTTTACACGAATTGTTTCAAAGGGAGCAATTCAACTTCGTACAGTGTTGATGAGGCACCAGATCCTGTCAGAGCAGCTGCCCGTCAATGGAACTCCTTTATCATTAGAAAAAGCCTGCCGAGCACTTCACCCCTATTTGCTCTGAATATTCTCGAGTCCCAATTCTTATTCATATTCAAAGTGATGTGCCCACTTACAGACCAGCATGTGCTTCAAAATTACAAGACTTGTTTGAGGTATTCCCTGGACGTTTAGACCGAGGGTAATGTTGATCAGGTATTCCAACAGCGTTTAGAGAATGTGTTTGTTGTTTTTAATAGAAATTTCCTAGAGACTAACTACTAGAAAGAAGCACACCTGAGCAGACTCCGCTTGTTCGTTATCCATGGAATCAGATGAATTACAAATTCTGGACAGGTAGTACGTTTCCAGAAAATGAGAACACACAAAAAAAGGGGTTTCATTCCTTTTTCTAAAACCCTGAAAGCCGCTCGTAGATTAAATCCTGAGTGAAAAAACAAAAGAAATGACATAATTTAACATCGCCTTTGCATGTATGGATCTTTTACAGACCCGCAGCGTGTTTGGATGCCATCAGCTGTACACAATCCCACGTCAAAAGTCCGTCTGAAATTGCTCGAGTAACCATGGCAATGATGGAAACAGAGATTTACTCAGAAGCAATCCATCCTGGCGGTCAGAGTTGAGCGAGTGTGTTTTTGTAACAAGTTGACCTCTGCCGGGTACTTTCCCCTGCAGGAGGACGCCCTGGACTCCAAATCCTCTTTGATTTCCAATAACATGTCCTGTACTCTAATAGCTCTCTTGGAGTAGACGGCCATTAGGGGACCAAAGAGAAGATGACAGGTTCAATTGAGTGTGAGCGTGCGATGGAGGAGGTGTGCTGTGTGTTCGCGTGTGTGG